TAACCAATCATGATCCATCTGACTAACAATCCACTTATTTGTAAGTGCTGAAATTACTTGTAATTTCAGCACCAGAGAGATTTGAATTTAACTTAGAAGTTAGTTGAACTCACCCGAGTACTTCAGCAGCCGCAATAAACCAGTATACCCTAGATCTATTGAGCCTAGCAGAGACTAGTTAAACAACCTGAGACTAGATAGTATAAGAGTAAGATTAGGATCGGTATTAGACTAAGAAGTTGCACGAATCTATCCGGCCGAAAATAAGATAGCGTGACGAGCAGACGGTGTACCCTATCCGAAATTACTCTATGAGTTATACACTTCGGTCATAACTCAAAAGTTAGAACAAAAATCAGGGTGTTTGGTTGTTTCAAACCCCTTCCCCTTTTATAGCAGTGATCGGTCGCATGTGAAATATCGTGTTAATTTCTGCTCAGACTTTAATAGATTGTATCAACTCAGCCTAGTTCCACTGAATTTCACTGTTTTCTCAATTGCGACTGCATGTATGAAATTCACGGGCAGTAATAATCATTTCGTTTTTTTTTTGTTCAAATCAGTTAAGCTCTTTATGTTCAAATCAGATGCCAATTGCCTGATTTGGATCCTTAACTGCCCCTGCAAAACCTAACCTCATGTATGCTAAATGATTCGTTCGGAAATGGTTGATTGACATGTTAAAACGGAACTTCTTATTTTACGCCGGTTTTAAGGTTCTAAACGGCAATCAAACCAAGTGAATATTTGATCTGGATTAGATTGATTAAAAACAGTATAAGATGACTTATGATCGATCAATTGTCGTTAGACTTAACGCATCTCATATTCGACAAATTTCAGATAATCTTTTTCTTTGTTTTTGAAAATTGGCAGCGGAAATTTTTAAAATCCATCTTGCGACCAAAATATTTTTCACCAGTTTAAGATTCGTACATATTGCGACCAAAATATTTCATTCATATTGTAGAAGCTTTTATAATGGTGGCGCATTACCTGCTAAAAGAACATTCTTTCGTGAAATAATCGTGAAAAATAATCGTGAAATTTTGATTATGTTCTAAGTGCATTTGTTATTTATTTGAGATCGCGGTTTGGTTTGACATTTTTTGTCATAATATTGAGTGGGGCTTAAATCGTTCCTTCTTGCCAGGTGAGCACTAATGGAGCATGTGCAGGTTGCCCTCAATATTACGTCACACTACCCAAATAATTACCTAACACTAATCCGACAAACTTGAGAGCAGAAAAACTCTTGAGACGACAAACTTAGCGAATGATTCTTAAAAACCGACTTTTGAATGAAGAAATATTCTCTTTTTGTGTAATGGAAACTGAAAAAAAATAAATAAACACCAACTCCAATTGATAGGAATCTCTGCTTTGTGTTTTTTCCAAAAGTGGATCATTTAGCCACAAATGTTACCGTAAATATAAGACTCTTCATAGATTTTGTGAATTGCCAGCTTTTTGAGCTTTCAGGCGTATCCTTTTATCAACATTGGATTACAATCCACATGCGCTTGCTCTCAATCAAACACAGTCCTTTGTTGCTTTAACTCAAATTGATATTTATGCCCAACTTTAGCAGTTACAAGTCTTACTTAGTGCACCAGTTTGTTGTTAACTGATCAAAATCTATAAACCGATATAGAGAAAATTGACATATACTTGACCGATGGTAATAGTTAGTGCGGTCTATATAATACTAAATTAAACTGCCTGCGTCTAATTTGAGCTAGACTTACCATATCAAAACAACAAATAAAAATTTAGTTGAACTTTTCACTTTTCATTTTCGTAAACAGAAACCAGGCCCTGAAAAAAACTCTGAGAGTTTCGACAACTCTCCTTCAATTTGCCCGATATTTTCTTACCTACAACAGAGGGGCTAGGAAATTAGACGATAAGCAAATTAGACGTGACCGACAAAAACAATTTTAAACGTTAAACTGTTTTTGCTAAACTAGCATTTTAGACGGAAAGCAAAGGGCTAACAAAATAAATTACTTAAAACAAGTTTTCATGATTACAAAAAAAAGTATATGATCCCATTGCATATCAAAATATTCATCAAAATTGATTTATAAAACGTTAATCTCAATATTATAAAACATTTTTGAAATGCATAAATTATACAATTGCGGCATGTAAAAATGCGGAATGTGAAAATTGCGGCATGTGAAAAGTTGATTAAAATTTAAGAAAGCTCGAACGAAAGTTAATTGAATAGTTACTAAACAAATTTCAGACTCGAACAATACAATTACGTCTAATTTCCCATACTTGTAATTTTGCATCGACGTCTAAATTCGTTTTTGTTGGTCACGTCTAATTTGCTTTTCGTCTAATTTCCTAGGCCCCCTAAAACAGTTATAGACTGTATAAAGATTGTAGTAGAAGGCTTTATAGTCAATTATGGAACAATAACGTTATTATAGACCAATATAATTATAATTATAGAACAATCGAACAATCAGGGGGGGTCTGGTTTTGCCTCATTAGCGCTTTAGACAGTGATTTTATTTTAGATTTATTTACAAATTGATATCCGGTCTTCTTTCTTCTTTTTTTTGCATAGTTACTTTGTTTGAACTTTTAGATCGGCATAATAGGAAAAGAAAGTTAAATAATTTGTTTTTTTTTCTTATAAAAAATGATCATTTTTTAATAATTTTTATTTGATCAGATAACAATTTGAAAAACAAAATAATATTAAATTTTATTATAATTATCTTAGGCGAATTTCAGCAAAAAAAGACTGCTCGTATCAGGACAAGGCATTGAATATTTCGACTGTCGATAAACTGGCCTGAACAGTTTTTAGTTAATGAAACATTGATTAACTATCAATTTTAAGCTAATAATAAGAATTGTTCATGGAATTGGTAAGTGGTGCAGGATAATTTGCCACTGTAAATCATGCACGTTCAACTTTCAGCATCAAAGTATCTCACGCGCTTTTTTAGACACATTAGTTTATCAATGAGCGTTTCACAGCAAACTTTCAGTCAGGATAATCTAATGGTGAGCGCAATCCTTCTGGGAACACAAAGATCCATGGACATTGAAAGTTTGCACAATCAATCGACAAGATGACATGACATAGCCAGCAGATTTAAAAAAAACGCCGACTGAACATTTAAATGATCTAACAAACACAAAGCTCGAACTACAACTACCATTGTTATAGAACGGCTAGGCATTAAAATTCTAGATAGCACCTTTTACTAATAACTAGAAACGTATTGCGGATATCTTGCAAAATGAACCGTTGATAACCTAAGGAATATACATTTGAAAGGAACATCAAAAAAGGACCGCAAAAAGATACCGTCAGTAGCGAAACTAAGAAAAAACCAATGAGATGGGAAGCTGAAAAGTATAACTTTGACCAAACAGGAGTTATGTATGGAAACAGTATCAGTGGACGGACTGAACATGATGACAAACAGTTGCCTATTCCTACCATTAGGGGCAGTTTAGACAGTAGAAGACAAAAATAAAACGAAACGTCAATACAACTTGAGCATAAAATCTGTGCGATTTATTGCCAAAACTGTTTGTCAAGAAATAGTAACATTTTTGAAGTATTATTTTTTGTAGACAATAAGATAAGCATGAAAATTTGAATTCCATGCAGAGCAAATGGACTTGATATCTAAAGTAGGTTGAGGTCAATAGATACGCGGCTGCTCATGTTACACACTAACCAGAGTTGACCACCATACACAAAAAATGCTTGCCATGCAATTCCATACAAGAAATGTTTATCATACAATTTCATAAGGCGATTGTATGGAAAAATGATTATCATACAGTTTAAAAGTTTGATGGTTTTAGTATAATATTTGTGTAAGAAAACTCTTAGATAATTCAGGTGGTTTTCAACGCATTGCAAATGCAAGACGATCAAATTTTTGGTGACTCTAGTTTTGAGTAAACCATAGTTTTTGTCATTTGTGTTCGGTCACGAACAGATCCCAAAAATTTTAAGAAATTAAAATTCTAAAAACTCTTTTTTTTGCCTCATGGGAATAAGCTAGTCATACAATCTTCATATATGAAAAATCACTAATCATAGACTTCCATGCAATTTTTCTGTACTTATGGAAAAAGTGTATGGAAAAACCGAGTGTATGGAAAAAGTTTACAATACATTTTCCATATATGGAATTTGTCCGATAAACACTTTTTCATTTATTGCAAAAAATTGAAAATTTGCGAGACAACAAAATCTAAATTTCAGGAAAAATTTTTCTCAATTTTCATTCTCAGTGTTCCGAAGCAAAAAAGCAAAAAATGAGGCGGAGCAATAAGCAGAACGGGTCCAAGAGCAGAAAAACAGAAAAATATTGACTTGTACGGGCTAAATAAATTAATAAAAAGGACTTTTTTAAAGTTTTTCTGCTCTTGGACCCATTCTGCTTTTAGGCCATTCTGCTCATTGCTCCGCCTCCACCTTCACCCTATTTATAATTGTACTTTTAGCAATTGATTTCTTCTTTTGTTGAGTGCGGGTGGTAACCAAAACTTGACGCTGTTGCAAATAAACTTGGAGCATTTTTAAAATTTATCTTCGATCCTCCCACCCCACAGACAATCTAAAGAGCAATATGATATATTTAAAATCTAATTCGGCCAATTACCTGAATTCATTTCAGTTAGGTAGCAAAATCGAAATGGATTTTTATTTGAGGGGATCGGCCTATTAGCATATGTGTCGATTAGCATGCCTATGTAAAAGAATGGAGATTGAAGATTTGCTGTCACATTTTGCTTTCTCAAGTTTCCAATTTTGGCCACCACGCACTTAGCCGAATTTTGAATTAGTCGAAAGTGAAAATTTCACTCTCATAAACATATCAAGTGATTTTCGAAAATATTTGAAATTTTATGCTAGTTTGTTTTTCGTCTGAAGCACGCAGAGTTAAAGCAAACATGATATGATAATAGGCACACATGCTAATCGCTCCGCCCCCCTCTAAGTTTGTACTAACATGAGCCGACTAGGAGAGAGCATTTCTGAGTGTCGAGAGGGAAGAATGTGAGAATCATGAAGCACTTGGAGGTCACGCGAAGTCTATAACGAACAAGTTGAAAAAACTAAAAGTAATATGCATTATAAATCAAATTCAAAACCTCAATCATACGATTCTTCACAAATTAAATCAGTTTCAAAACGTTCTTAACCATTTAACTCTGTTAAGTGGGATTTTTTTGTATGTTACTTGATTGAAAACGACTTTTTTGACCTGTTTTTTCTAAATTTTGCCTGCGGCGCGAAATTTTTGGGCAATTATCAGCGCAATGTAAAAACGATACGATTCACCCAAATATTTGTATGCTTCACGCTCGATTCTTTTTTTGTTCATCCAGGGGCGGATCTAGGATTTTCTCGAGGGGGTGAGGGACGGGGCGGATTTTCAAAAAAAAAAATTCGAAACTTTTATCAACCTTTTTTTAGGTCGATCAAATTCATTTTCTGAGCTCTCCTAAATCACTATAAGACCTCATTTTGACCAATTTTTCTGCGCCGTAGGCAAACTTTTGAAGAAAAAAAAAACGGGCCAAAAAATTTTTAGGCAATTTTTGGAAAACTTTGACCAAAATTTGCGTTTTTTCGGCGCGCGCTCCCACCTCAAAATTAGCATTTATTGGCGTCAAAGACGCCTTTAGAGTCCTTCACCAGAAATGGATATCTCAAATTAGTACAAATGGGGACCCTTTGTGTCGGCAGGGGGTCGATGTCCTGATGGAGGGGGGTTTATCTATCCAGTTTTGCTCTATCTGGCAACCCAAAATGATTGATAAGTAGAATCTGATCAGTTTGAATTGACTTGTTGAGATAATTGTGAACCCATTTTTTTCTGAAAATTGGATCAATCGTTTTTTTAAAAAAAAACATGCGGTACGCATTTCAGTCGATGTTTTTCTTGAAGATTATGAAATAAATATGCTTTAGTTGCAAGGTGCATTTTCCATTTATTTACAAGTGGCGCGGTTCAAGACAAGAGAACAAAGAACAAGAGTGAGAAAATTTCATAACTTCAAAACATGGTCTTACAAAGTCTTGAAATCAATGAAAGTTGTCTTCAATTGATCAAAACAAGCAGTTTCTTTCAGGGGCGGATCTAGGATTTTCTCGAGGGGGGGGCGGATTTTCAAAAAATTTTCCAAAATTTTGACGACCTTTTTTTTTTTTTAGGTCGACCAAATTGATTTTTCGAGCTCTCCCAAAGCACTGTTTTGCCCCTATTTTGGCAAAATTTTCTGCGCCGCAGGCAAATTTTTTAAAAAACAGTCAAAAAAGCCGTTTTTGGGCACTTTTTGAAAAACTTTGCGTTTTTTTCGCGTTTTTTTTTGGCGCGCGCACCCCCTCAAAGTTAGTATATATTGGCGCCGAAGGCGCCTTTAGAAAAATTTTAGGGTCGGTCGGCCAAAAACGGATTTCTGAAAAAGTATCAAAGGGGGGACCCTTTGGGTCGGGAGGGGGTCGAATCCCTGAGGGGGGGGGCGTCCGCCCCCCCCCCCCCCCCCGCCCCCTCCTAAATCCGCCCCTGGTTTCTTTTAAGTGGCGTCAAAAATTTGGTAAGCAAACAAGTAATAATAACTTCTCCCAATTTTGCATTACCCTCAAGCTAATTTTCAGTCATTTTTCCAGAAAATTGAAAAGAACCCAAATAGTTATTCAAAACAATAAATCTTAACACTCTCTTTTGTAACTGAAAGTTTTGTACTGCAAGTCTTTCAACTTCCATCAATTGATCCATCTATCATAAAAAACGCTTCACAAATAACCATCTATCATAACAAACGCGTGGTCTATTAGAAAAATGAAGGTTCAATTGTAGAACGAATCAAAAATAATTGGCTAAAACATGTTCAATTTGCATCGTTAACTAATGAAAAAGTTCTCATGTTCGTTGCAGCTCATTTCCTCGGAGATACTCAAATTGATAGGAACTAATTCCCAATTTGATTTTTGACCATCTCTTAACAACTCATTGGCCATGCTTTTGCGGGCGTGAGAAAAATTTCACCAAGAAGCATTCACGGAAAAGACTTATTTCATCCAAATTAGCAGAGGAATAAGCTAAGTCTACTAATAATCGTTGTGATCACTCAATTCTCTCGGCTCTTGGTCGCGTTGTTTTGCCATTGATTTACTTTTCTCAGAGCACCGTTCTTTAATGGAGATCAAATTGAAACCCCCCCCCCCCGCCCCTCAGATAGACCAAGTAAAAATCTTCCACCCAAGTATTTATTTCAGATTAGATTTGCTAAACGCTGCATGTAAAATGCTCATATCTGAGTGGCTGAAAATTCCCATTTAGAAGCATGTTAACATCCTCCCGTTTTATTTCAAACATAAAGGCGTTTTTGACCTTTAATATTCAAAATTTTAGTCTAATGAAGTGAAAAAATTGTTCTCAATTTTTTGGGTTGGTTTGATGATTATTTGGAACTCAGATGTCACTTAATAAAGGTCACCAGAATTTTATGGCAGAAAAAAAGCTAGTTTATTGACTCACTAATTTAAGCGTATAAGGAATGCCTTCTGCGCCTATATTAATGAGTCAATAAACTGACTCTGGGGGGCAAGGACTGAGGGCACAACCTTGTATGTTCAAATGGCTGCTTTAGGTCATTCAAAAATATTCAGTTTTGACTAAATATTGAATTAAACACTTTAATTTGAAACTTCGTCATTTTAACCTAATTGGAACAAAATTTATTTCAAAAACTTGCTTTAATCAAAAACATCCAGGTATGGATTCGTGTTTCAGAAAAATCTTTCCATCAAACTGCTCTAATGAGAAGATGCTAACTTGGTTCCGTTAATGTCTCAAATCATTGTTTTATTTCAAACATTAGGGCGTTTTTGGCCTGTAATTTTTAAAATCTGCGGCCTTTATCCTAACTATTTTATCTAAGAAAAGTAAAAGCGTTTTCCAATTTTTTGGTCTGTTATGATGATTAATTAGAACTCAGATGTCGTATAATAAAGGTCACTGTAATTTTATTGCAGCAGAAAACTAGTTTATTGCAGCAGAAAGAAGTTTATTGAATCACTAATATAAATTTAAGAAGAATTCCTCCTATATTAGCGATCAATAAAGGTTTTAGTGGCAAAGACTGAGGACCAATTTTTAAATGTTCTAATTGCTGCTTTAGTTCAATTAATTTTATTAACTTTTGACAATCATCTTAAACTAAACATTTTTCAATCTGAAACATTGTCATTTTAACTTCAATGAAACAAGATTTGTTTAAAAAAATTGCTTTAGTCAATAACATCAAAATATGATTTTAGCGTTACAGAAATAAACTGAAATAATTGGTTTTTCTAATAGTACTAATTTTCAGCAAATTGTATTTTATTTGGCTATATATGCTTAACTATCATCACTCTATTGTATCTACCAAAGAATCACAACCCCTATAAATAAAATCAGTAAAGAAGCACTAGGGCTTTCTATGCTAAATTTCAAAATTGCTGCATTCTTAAAAATCATCTGAGGGTCGACGAACTCTCACGGACTCTCCCGTGGAATTCTTATTAATAATGATAATAATAATAAATCTAATTGGTCGAAGTAGAAAATTCAATAAACCTAACCTTTAAAACAATTGCCCACTTTCTAACCCTTTCTTAACAATTGCAATTGTTAAGTAGATTGTATGCTAGATGTTTTTTTAATTCTAAGGCGGATAGAGAGTTTCACTAATTCCATGGAAAGCTGACTGATGATAACTACTTTCTTTTTTTTGGAAAATATTAGGCCTCGATTTGCAAAATTTTTATTTTTGGAGTAAGCGGGCATTTCTCATGATCGAGGCACCGAATGATAAAAAATTTTCAAGAGAATCGATTTTAACATGCCAAACTTGTGCAGAAAAAACATAGCCAACCGAAGATTGAAAAAGACTAATGAACGCAAGGAAACTGAAAAAAAATGGACTTGATTTTTAAAAAAACCTATAACTTTTGAATTTCAAAGAAAAAACTAGATGGCTTTAAAACTCTTTGATTTTGTAGAACAATTTATCCCGGACAATTTTTGCGTTAGAATTGACCCAATTTGAAAAAACTGGATCAATAGTCAAAATTTTTGTTTCGCTGGGAAATCTGATAATTAATTTCCTTTTTCGAAATTAGAAGTCGATCACGTTTTTCGTTGACCATACACTTTTTCTTTTCTATAGTGCAGTTTGCCTTCCTTTTAACAATAGAAATGCACTGAACTTGAAAAAAAACCACAAATATAACCGCGAAAAATCAAAATTGAGCGTGAACAAAATTTAAGACTTTTTCCTAAAAAAATTCAGCAAGACTTATAAAAGAGCACTCACTAAGTTCATTGACTTCAAAAAGTTTTCAGTATTAATTATAATGGCCTAGATTTATTTGATTTTTTGAAACTGTAGCAATTTCCCCGAGATTTTTGAATGCACAATTCTGGTTGGCTCAAAAAATATCTTAAATTTTTTTTCCAAACTTCGGTCCTTCCATCAAGAGGGACGCCACCTTAGAGAATCAGTATCTTTTCATTACATTTCAAAACAGAAAATAATTTTGTTTGAGCTCAAAACAAAATCTTCGGACCGATCATTCATTTTTTTGATATCACTATTTTAGTCAAAAGAAAGAGACTAAGAAACTAAAAAGTTAATCACATTTTCCTTTGACTGCATTATTTATAAAGTCATGAAACTTTTATATGCAATAAATGAAAAATTCTAAAAGAAATTGAGGATATTAAGAAAATTGAGGAAATCAAAAAAAGAAAACATAAAAATACAGCAAGTAAATTTTTGTAGAAAAGCATATTGATTGGAAAACTATCTACAATTAAGCAGGAGGAAAGAGAAATTTTATCCATGAGTTACAGCTATTTTGAAAAGATTTCCTGAAAAGTATACATTTGCCTTTATTAGGCACCAATTGATGAAAACCCACAGTTTGCTTTTTCTCATTTCGGCACAAAATTTTATCTAATAATTTGAAATTGATGTTTTTTTTTACTGAAAATGGGTTTTTTGAACAATTGAATTTCGTTCTGATTGAATGTCGAGAAATTACTAACTTATAAAACTCAACAAGGTTTTGCTAGAAATGTTGAAAGAATAATATAAATAACAAACTGAATCTTCGAAAGCAATATCAATATTTATAATGAATCTTCCATGAATAAACATCAGTTGCTGAGGCTATAAATTTTTTGCAATGGATGAAGGCGCATTTTCTTGTTTATATTAGAAAATGTACAGAACTAACAAGACGAAGTTAAGATTAGATTTTAAATAGGTATACGACTGGTCGTATCAGCCCGACTTTTCTTAACACCCTTCAACGTATCTGGATTACCAATTGGTTTGATAAATATAGTAGAAAAAGTTTTAAACTTTTTGAAAAGATTCCTTTACAATCGATTTTTAAAGTAAAATTTTTAATGTAAAGTGATAAAAAAAATTTAAAAAATAAATGTTTTAATTAGAAGAAATTGCTTGAAATTTGGAAATAATAACCAAAATAATTAACCCAATTTGCCAAATTTGCAATCTTTAAACCCATAATTTTACGGAAAATGATAGCATGTGAAATATCTATTTAAATTTGAGATCAAGGCCTTAATACTTTTAGTACTAGGGAGAAATCACGTCAAAATTGGAAGTTGCCCGTGCACATTTTTGTTGTATAAGAAATGCGGGAAATTTATGCTTTGGTTGTTTCTTATTCAGTCAAATGTTGGAAATAATCAAACAAATTATACCCTGTTGAAGGTATCAATTAACTGAGTTCAAATACCTTTATTTTATCTTAGATTGTTTTCGCTATGCTTTGGTCTAAATTATGCAAACTGTGCAAACTTTAATTATTATGCTGAAAGAGTTACGCTGATTGTTTATGCAAGACGAGTTGATTTGAACAACAAAATTGTTCCAAATCGAGTAGGCACAAGCTAAATCGTCGTTCTCATTTTGTACCACTCAAGTTTTTACACTTGGCGTTTGATATTGTGCAAAAAATTGTTCGATACCACTTAAACTGCAGTCGGGACAATGGTGAATCATATTAATTTATTATGAAAGATAAGAAGTTTTTCCTATAATTATTTAAAAGAGTTTGCATGCATCCAAAACAGCAAACAAAATGCGCGCTTCAAATTTTTCAAAGCAGCAGAAACAAAAGAAAATCATCTGAAAAATTCTTGCAGCTAAATTGCAAGACACTATCTCAAAGGTGTTAAAGCTCGGATGTAAAAACGCAAAAAATTTGGAATAAACATCTTTCCAACTCTGAAGGTTTGAGAAAATTTTCCGTTTTGTCAAAATTTTTTATCAAAAACATCTCAGCTATCTATGAAAACCACTCCAACGATTCAAATAAAATGTTTCCATGGTTGAATTCTTATTAATAAAATTCCCTGTTTCAGCGAAATTTCATTAATATTTGCATCTACATGTATCACGCATAAGTCGTTGAACTTAACATATCTGTTTTACCAATCTTTTTTAGTTTATCAAGGAGAAAAAAAAGCAAGCTTTTTCAATTTTTAGACGGATATCAAATAATCATAGGTGCATCCATTTCTTTTGCGATGTTTTGAAACCATCATGTTTTGCCATATTTGCTAGTTTAATGATTTTCTCGCTGAATTATAAAGCTACAGTTCCGGATTTCAACGTTGATTCAGGTGGCATTCCTTTCAATGGAGAACCGAATGATGGAAAATTAGTTTCAGTCAATAAAATTGGTTTTTGAAAAGTTTCAAGAGATCTCAAATTAAGCAAAATGAAAGGGCCACAAAATTAAAAGTGATCTTTTGGAAAACAAGCCTATAACCAAAATATTTTAAGACGCATTATAAAAAAACTTGAAGGATTGAGATTTTAGAAAAAAATTGAAAAAGGAATCAATATCTTCACGAATTGTATTACTAAATTTAGCTGTACTAATAAAACTCATTTTCAGCAACTTTCGACTATGATTTTGAGAATAAGATTTTTTGCGAACATGAATGTCCAAAGATTCCGATTGGTTGAAGCGTTTTCGTCAATCAGTCCCTCCATAATAAAAAAGTCCAGTGTATTCGTATTTATTTTTAGGTTACAAATACATGCAATTTGTCTAAAAACGGCTAATCATACAAATCCATAACCTCATACAAAATAACCTTTTACCGAAATGCACCTCGAGTTTACCAAAAACTTTAAATATATCTGCATGCCAAATAAGGTCAGATAATCCAGTTCAATAATTTTGGGACTAGAATTTTTTTAGCAAAATTTTTTTGACGCATAACAAAGCAATCAGAAGATGGGAAAAATGATATTGAAGCCAATGGAACGATAAAAAATGATTTTTCAAAAAAAAACCCATTTTTTTTAATTCTAATGAATTGAAACCAGATCACCTTAAAGCTCTTTTACTTTCAATTTTCCAACTTTTTTTATGAAACTGGCCAATTTTGAGAAAATGTCTACAATTAACTGGTCCAATGGTAAATTTTTTATTGTCAGGGAAATCGTAGCAAAACTAGAAACCCCCTTTGAAAAGTCAATCAAAATTTAAAGTTAAAAAATCGATCGTGTTTTTTTTGCTCCTCGTGTGCCTTATATTTTGAAAAGCGTAACTTTTTCTTTCTATCAGCAGTTAAATTGAGTTGAATAGAAAAATAGAAAGTGAAAAGGCGAAAAACCATGTTTTTGCGAGAGAACATTTTAAATGTTTTTTCCTGAAAAAAAAAAGATTGAAAAAACCAGCTTGACTAGCAAGTTTGGATGACTAGCGTTTTTGATAACCAGATTGAACACTTTTTCAATTGTAGTTGTTAAGCAGCAAGTCACTGTTTTTGGAGGTCTATTTACTTACATTTAACAATAAAATTCCCAAATCTCGAAATGGGAAGTAATCAAATGAACATGCCCGAAACTGATTAGTTGAAACTAAATTTGTAGCAAAACCTAGTTTTAATAAAACGTCCAGTTAGTAATTTATGAATTGTAAGGTAATTTTGACAGTGAAAAAACGAACCTTTAATGATTTGTTACAACTTACCGCTCACTGACGAGGACACGTCCCTCGGGGTGAATGCGAATGAGTGAGTTGACGGAGCCTCCCGCGTGCACGGAGGTGTGGACTGCACTCAGGAAGTAAGTATCCGGCTTCCATATCTTGTCGGAGATTTCTGATCCGAACTGGATATAAGGGTAAGTGGCGTTCTGGTATGACAGTCGAGGGTCCAGCCACATTTGACGGAAGAAAAAGTCCATCGTGAACTCCTGGAATTATCCAAGCCATATTAGTATAGCAGTTTAATTAAGACAACCATAGTTGAAATTAGATCAACATGATCAAGCGAGCTCTACTTCAACCTTAAAATATCGAGCTCCGGCTTAGGACTCCCTGCTGATTCACTAAAAAGAATTCGCAGATACTGCGCAAGTAACACAGATTGTTTCGACCGCTCCTATTTATCAATAAAATTCAAAAAATTACAAAACTCACATTATTTTTCATTTAAAAGTATCTTTTGTCAATTATTGTTTCTAATTTTAAAATTAAAATGACCCGCAGACACTTAGGAGCCATTGATATCTTTGATTACTCCTCGATTTGTGAAATAGAATAAGCGCTCATATTTACACTACAAGAAGAGACGGTTTTCATCAAAAAATTTCAATTATTTTCTCAACTTTTGTTTCACATTGAAATATTAAATTTAAATTACCCGCAGATGAAAAAAAAATCATTTCAAGATTTTAATAACTCATCGTTGCTAAAATAGAAAAAATTAATCTAAGGAGAGTCTTGTTTTCTACAACTTTTTTTTTCAATTACTTTTCTTTTTTTTTCACATTGAAGTATAAAATTAAAATGATCCGCAGATAATAAGTTGCTGTGATTAAAGATAAAAAATAAAGTATATCGTATGAAAAAAGAAAATTAAAATCATCAGTTTTTCTTAATATTTTTTGTTCATTTCCTGTTTTTATTTGTTTCAGTAAAAGGTACTGAAATAGTTGAACTATGCAACTATGCAAGACCGAGTGACTATAATAGCTTAAGTAACGTTAAAAAGTTTAACTTTGGAGGTCACCCACTCCAGAGTTCTATGAATAATGGTAGATTTATAGTCATATTAACGGTATCTTTCAAAATCCTAAATATTTGCTTAATTTGAAAAAAAAAAACAATTTTATCTTAATTTTTCAGCAATAACCAATAATTTAATATGAAATGCTTTTTGAATCGATTACAAGCTGTTTTACAGTTGTTTTAGATTTTGTCTTTGATTTGCCATTTTCAAATAACTTGCCGTAAACCGAAAATTTGTATAAAAAATTTAAAACTGGAAGCTTTCAAAACACCGGTTGAAATTTTTAAAAGGAAATTCGGTTTAGGTAGAACAATTTTATGATACGTTTTTTAAGTTTCTTTAGCCTTCCCCCAATTGCGTCTCTTTTCATTTATGACCAACTTACGTACTTTTCACCATTTGATCAAAATCCTAAACTTTTCGTCAATTTTTTTAAAAAGTGCACAAACGTGTCATTTTTTGACTATCTTTAACTTCGAAATTTTTTTTTGGAATCGTTGTGAAACTCCGCAATCAGTCTAACTGTGAGTCAGTGGAAAACGCAAATGCGTGTGTGTGTGTCTGCGGGGTAGGGTGGATCTATGTGTTGCGAGGGAATGATTAAAATCGCCGGGGAGGGGTAAATTTGATGGCGATGGTAAGTTTGGAAGAGAGTAAAGTTTGGGGGAGTAGGAGGGGAGTGTTGATGAAGCAATCGGTTTAAATGTAGTGTTGTAGGGTTTGTGGCGATTGTATCTAAAAAATTAATTTTATAGACATGATAACCCCTTCAACTAGAAACTAAATAAAAATATGAAAAAAATTATAATGGCTTTCAAATCCACTTCATATTCAAGAAGTGTAATTATAATCCCTTGTTATAAAAAAAACTTGTTAGCTATGTTATCCATTATAATTGACTATTTCTCACCAAATCCAGTATGGGCGGCCAGTAATCAATGACCAAACTTTGTCTAATTTAGTCTGAATTTTGATTTTTTAGCCAAAAACAATCAGACCACTAACACCAAAATCGTTTTTTTTTAGATTTTGTTTCTGTAATATTGTTTGCGACCAGCAGGGCTTTCCATAATACTAAGTTTAATATCTTTCCATGAGGTGCCTAACTATCTTATGCCATAGTACTTTTTTACTCTTTTAATTAGTATATTTTTACCCCTGTTCAGAACTAATTTTAGAGGTCTTTTACACCAGAGTTTTCAAGGAAAACGATAATTGTCATTTTAGCAATATTCTTCAAAATGATAAATTTTTGCTTATAATCAATTAGAAATGAAATATTTTTCACATTTTTCTACAGCAAATTTTCATAATTTTAACGGAGACATTTTTGACTCAGTTACAATCAACTATACTGCATTAGAAAAACTTTTTCAGGTTTAGTTTTTTTGTTTGTCGTTTTCAGATAATTTGCCGTAAATTAGAAACATGACCAATTGAAAAAACTTTGAAACTGAAAGTTTTCCCAAACACTTGTTGCTTTTAAAAGAAAAAAATTGCTTTGGATAAAAAGTTTTATTTTACTTTTTGTTTCTTTCTATCGTAAGTTTTCTCTTTTTGGTTACTTTTTTCTTATATTTGTAAATTGTTTTTTGATCTTTCTTAACTTTCCACCAATTGCATATACTTCCATATATGACCCACTTTCCCGCCCGAATGTACTAGCTTAGTGATATTATCAAAAATGACAAAACTTCTATTAAGTGCGCAAACGTGTCATTTTTTACCTGTTTTTATTGTGGGGAAAATTTTTGCGGAATGAATGTGAAACACCGCAATCAATCTGAGTGTGATTTAGTGGGAAGGTCAAAAGTGCGTGTGCAGGGTAGGGTGGATCTATGCGTTAATGGGGAATGGTTAAAATTTCCGTGGAGGGGTAAGTTTGATGGCAATGGAAGAGACGAAAAAATAAAGGAGGGGTAGGGGGAGTTGATGATGGGATATGTTTTAACATAGTGTTGTAAGTGTTGTGGGGGTTAGATTTGCAAAACGAAGTTTATATACATACTTAGTAGGTGTAGAAGTCAAATAGCCCGAGAGTAAATTAGAAACTGTATCAAATGTAGCAACTGTTTTGCAACATTTTCATTTAGGTTATAATCCACTGGAATCCCTTTTAGGGATTTATTTGAATAATAAACTTCAAAAAATTATGAAAAAAAATTTTAAATGGTTTAAAATCCTTATCAAATACAAGAATTGTAGTTATAATCCCTTGTTATAAAAACATGTTAACTGTCGTCTTTAGGATTTCCACACACGGTCTTGCGAAGCTATCCCTTTTACCGTGCTAAAGCAGGGGGCACTAAGGCTCGGTATTAACGACAATCCCGAAAGGGTTATGTCAGTGGTGAGTTGTCCTCTACTGTATTCTATTGCTCCCCCTTGGTCAGTGATGCTCTTGCTCGCTATATCTCGCTTGAAGTCGCGTACAACGAATAACGAATTCCTTTTTTGCAACTGAATTCAATATATATAAGTTCGAATACAAAGGGCCTACTAGTTCGGCCAGAGCATAATTCATTAATATACAACAGAATGGTTTGCGATCTGTACACGCTTAACAATTTCTTCTGCGTATTCGGTCAGTACATGCGTCGACTAAGCTCTCTGACTTTTGCTAGCTTCTACTCTAACTAATATTCCACAAGGCACTTCGACTTGTGTTCTTACTTCACTCGCTGTGAAACAATTAACTGATGAGTTCAGATAGCGACCACAACTGGGACCTACTGAATCTTACGTTCGTTAACTCGTTCTCTCTTCAAAGTCCGCTCTCGAACCTCCACTTCTTATCTCTATTTTCGCTCCGTTTTTGTTAAAGCCACGCCATTCCCTATCAGTCCCAACATTCACGTAACTAGCTGCCACTCAAGACTTATCAGCTGAATCAACCATCATTAGGTCAGCTTTAATTAAACATCGGGGTGGCACTTAGTTAATCAGGACATGCTGAGCAAACATTGGGTTCAACTACAAAATCAGCTCCCAATCGTATTTGACAAATGACCCCTTGCATGATTTTATTTTAGTTCTTCCTAATTTTTTCCCTTTCCTATGAATTGGGTAGTTCTCACGCAACCGGGAATTTAACCCCCGTGATACTCAAAAAGTTTCCATTTTTGGTCATTTTTTGTTTTATTCCCCTAAGTCCAAGGGCTGGGTAATTCCCTTCCCCGTGTCCGTTTTGATCCGAAAAAACACCACAAGAATTCATTTAATATGCTAGGGCTGTTCATAAAATCTTCATCCCGAAATTCCCATTTCCCCCCATAGATGTTCCCACTTTTTGTCCGGGGGCTGTATTTTTACTTGTTTGTCGTTCTTATCGAAAGTCCAAGTGGAGTGGGTTAAGCTGACCCCAATGTTTGCTAATTACAGAAAATCACTTTCGCTCGGGTACAAAGGTCAAAACTAAAATTCTCGATTTAGGGGCCTCCCGTAACCTCCCCGGGTGGGTAGGTATCCCTTACGGGTCCTTACGATGCTAATTTACCGCTTTTCAGGGGGTTCCGGGGTCTTGGGGTCACAAATGCCAAATGACCTCTGAGGGGTCATCCGAGATCAAATGAGATCAAACGCGTCCAAACGTCTTATTTTCGATGGGAGATCATTCCCACAAAGTTTCATTCATATCGGACCATCCGTTCCCATGTTTTCGAAAAATTCGGGTCAATTAACACTTTTTCCCTAAAATTGCTATTTTCACCCCATAGGAAGTTTCGGAGAGGATTGGGTCACAAGGGGTCCCCCTACTGGTTTGAGCCCGCCTTCACATTGGTGCATTAAAATCACAAGTCAATTATCGCTATCAGGTGTTAATAGTCTAATTCAATTTTCAAGTGCTAATAGCTTCTGATGTAGCCGCCGGATTGGGTCCAAACATTAATACCTTATAGGTCTTCTCCCAACCTATCATCCCCCCAAGTTTCAACCTCCTAGCATAATCAGGGGTCGAGAAATAACGAAAATAGGTTCTGTTTACATAGGGCGTAAAACCGCAAGTAATAACCGGATGCGTTCAAAATCCCGCTGGTGAACTTCTCTCGCCTAGGGCTACAACATATTGCAATATGAAGTCATTCTGACCATTAGTTACCGGTTTACAAAAAGTGCTAATTGCTTTTTCGGAAATCATTATCACTCGCCCCCCAGGGGTCCCAGGGGTCTGGAAATTTGCATACCCGGCTTAAATCATCTTTATTAGTCACCCACCAATTTTCAAAAGGATCAGACTAATGGTTCCCAATCTTGGGGGGGGGGGGGTTTCCAGAATTTCAATTTTCTTAATCCCAGCCAGAGTTAGGGGAAATGTCCGGGTAAAAGTGCATTTTTCTTCGATTTTATTTCTACTACTTTATTTAGCTTTAAGTCCACTTTTCAATCTTTCTACTTTGTTTACCCTTAGCTAACAGCCATCCGATTAAGCTATTTAGACCTCATAACGAGAAATGAAATACCTAAACTTAAACCAAGGTAACGATACCCAAGCAGAAAATACGCTAAGTCAAAAATTTGCTAGAATTACCAGTTCTACGCTCAGGCTACTATAGCATGTAATACAGTAGAATCACCAATTCTACATTAACCATGTTTTCCATCATAATTGATTGTTTCTCACAAAACTCCAGGGTAGACAGCCGGTAATTAACCTTTGCCTATTTTGGTTTGAAAACCAAAAATATTCAGATCACTGAAACAAAAATGTTCTGAATGGGATTTTCTGGTATTTTCTGGAATCTGTATTGGAACCAGTATGGCTTTTCATAATTCCATATTTGCTATTTCCTTGAGGTGCCTACTTATCGTAGTACGTCAAAACACCTTCTTACTGTTTTAAATAGTACATTTTAACCCTTTTTAGACTTGATTTTGAAGGTCAACCGCACCAGTGTTTTATAAATAATAATATATTATATTGTCATTTTAGCACTATCCTTTAAATTCCAAAATATTTGTTCATAATCAATTATAAATGAAATTTTTCATAATGTTTCACCAAATCTTCATAATATAAATGAAATACTTTTTGAATCAATTACAATCAATTATAATGACTTATAACAGTTTTTTAGAACTGTTCTTTTATTTTTGATTTTGTGAACAATTTGCCGTAATGGAAAGTAGATCATTTTAAATAACTTTTAAATTGAAAACTTTTGAAAACAATTTTTGAAAACTTTGAAAACTTGTTTTGGATAGAAAAATTGTTATCTCACTTTCTGTTTCTTGCAAAACAGGGCAAAAGTGTGCTTGCGGGGTAGGTTGGTTCTATGTGTTGCGAGGGGATGATTGAGTTTCCCTGGAAAGGGGTAATTTTGATGGCGATGATAACCTTGGAAGAATGGAATTTTTTTCTTTGGGGGGATTTGCTGAATGGATTGGTAAAAATGCGGTGATGTGGGGTTGTGGCGGCTGTATTTGTTTTTAAAAAAAGTTATACAGAAGTATTAGTAGATTTAGAACCGAATAGCCCGTGAGTACAGTAGAAAACGTAAGAAATGTTGCATTTGTTTTTGCAACAAATTAATTTAGATTATGATCCATTAGAATCCATTATCATGGATACAGTTGGATAATGAACCAAACTTAATTTTGAAAAATTATATAATGGTTTAAAGTCAACATCATTTTCAAGAAGTGTAATAATATGCCCTTTTTATAAAACCAATTTTGACTAAGTTCTCCATTATAATTGATTATATTCACGAAATTCCAGTGCAGGCAGCCTGTAATCAAATTTTGATTAATTTAGTCTGAAAATCAACACTATTCAGACCACTAACACCGAAACCACTTTTTCGATTTTTTTTCCGGAATCTGAATTGCGACCAGGAGGGCTTTTCTATGATACACGCCTGCTATTTTTTCTCGAGGTGCCTACTTATCCTGCGACATAGTACTCTATATAAAATTGGATGTCTTAAAATAGTACCAAAGGGTAAACTTTTGGGTCGTCAGTGAGTCGAATCCCTGTGAGAGGGCATGGGGCGTTCAAGGCCGCCTAAATCCGCTACTGGTTTTAATCACATTAAAATGTGATGTTAATTTTTCGTAACACTTTCGTAATAATTCAGGTTCATACTGGCTCTTTTCCAGTTCATCTTTTCAACTGATTTGCAATTGTATTTACTGAACCCTATTTAGAATGACTTTTGATGTTCTTGATTGCAATAAAACGTGTCACAACATTTTTTACATGAAATTTGTCGTATGATCAATTTTTCAAAACATAGCCAATCGAAGATTGGAAAAGAGTAATGAACGCGAGTAAGCATAAAAAAACACTGACTTTCTTGCCAAAATCTCAGTTCTCGAACTTCAAAGAAAAAGTATAAGCCCTTTAAGCTCATTGAATTTCTAGAACAATTTATGATTGGCGCTTTTTTGATAACATGAACCCAACTTGAACCCAACATGAAAACTGTATCAATAGGTAAAAGTTTTTATTCCGCTAGTAAATCTTAAAAATAAAGTCCACTTTCAGAACTAGAAATCGTTCACCTTTCAGAGTGCAGTATTTACCATGTCTTCGTGGGAGACAGGTCCAATTCCGTCGATGACGATTGAAGTGTACACCACCACCGGTTCCCCTCCGAAGTTGGGTCTCAGCAGTTTGTTGTACTCTGACGACGCCCCTCCCCCTCCTCCAGCCCCCTCCCCCTCCCCTTTGCTCCCCCATTGTCCTTCGTCCTCCCCACTCACTCGCAAAATCAACTCCGACGCTATCTGTCTGCAAACAAAAAATACACATATTGCTCCAATTTATGCGACTGAACGACTCGACGCTACATTTCTGTCGACTGGAACTTATGTTTTGACTGACTCAGTTTTGCGTTTCCACCGATTCGATTTATAGTTTAGCGGACTCGACTTTACGTTTAGATTGACCCGTCTTTGTTTTCGACGGTAAGACAGTCTCGACATTGAATTTTTCGGTTGAGCCATGACAGTTGTCGCCCCACTCAAGAGATATATCGCAAACCGCGAAAGAGGTACTCTTGACTTCAGTAATTGTTTACGCTAAATGTCGTTGCAAGGCTAATATATTTTGGGCCCGATCCATCATGAATTTTAGATTTATAAAGAAGGCACAGACTTTAGGAGAAAGTGAGAAATATTTATGTTGATGGAGTTTTTATTCAAAATTTTGAAGGACTACAAACAATAAGTTCAATTACGAATTCAATTATCTTGAGTATAAAATTAAATTAAACTTTCGCGGTTTTTTTGCGAGTTTAATTAACTGGAGTATAAAATCAAATTAATTTTTGTGGTATTTTTGCGAAGTCAAGAGGGTTGAAATAATGACATGCTTGAATTATTCGACCCCTAAGTTAATCCAAACTGAATCAAGCTCATTTTTTCAACCATTCATTTCATGACTAACCACAGATATTATCAATTAGCATTTAAAAGCAGCTGAGATAGTAGTTTTTTTGGTTCAAGGAGAAAAGAGGTGTTGAATGTTATTTTTTGTGTGAAGGATTTTTTCTATTTTATGATTGCCAGACAGTTTGAAAATGGTTAATAACAGTCACAGCTTTCGAGACTTCGCTGAACACAAGCAGTTAACAGACTCAATAGTGAAGGTTGCTCATCAGAAATGAGGAAAAATTTTCAAACAAATTCAATTTTTTTTTACAACTAATTGGCCTGAATAAAATAATGTACAAATGAGGATTTCCTTCCTTTTCTTCTGAACTGTATTGAAATTACGAAATCTATACGTTCGATGTGGATTAATTTCCTCCAAGTTTTGAAGAAAATGGCAGAAAGTTTGTGCTCAGAGTGATTTTTCAATATTTTAAATAACATTGTTTTGTAACTTTTTTTCTGAAAAAAATTAGTTCATTTTGAATATTCAATGAGCGTGAGCTTTTGAGTTTTCATTTAATGGTGTAACAACAAAATTGGTCCAAATAATGTAAAGAGTGTGCAAGATAAACTTTTTCACATAAAGTCGAGCTGTCACTATGTTATTGAGGTACTTTAAATTTATCTCAACGAAGAAATTGGTTGTATAATTCAAATTTCCATTGAAACTTGAGGATATTAAAAACCCTAGTCTTATAGTATTAACTCAGCACTCCTAGTCCCTCATAACAAATTTTGACATTTTTTGGTGAATTTTTTCCCTCTTAAAAGTTAAAATATATCAGAACTAATTAATTGACGGCAAATCTGAGTGTTTCGACTGCCATTTAATGTGTTCGAAGTAGTTTTTGTAGAGAAGAAGTTAAAATCAAAGTTGAAAAAATTGCGTTTGTGTACGCAGGATTTGGATAATTTAGTTCAATTAAACATGTTTTGATTCGTAAACTGGAACAATTTGATTTAAAAAAAAGACTTCAAAGTAACAAAATGTCAAAACAGTTAAAAATTGTTTGAAATTTGAATAACTGAGTGCGATTTAGCTTGCAATTATCAAGCTAAGCGTGGATTACTGAATCAAACTTTTACTCGATAAAAATTCTGCTGGTTTTTTGTGACTGGTTATTAAGCCGGGTTAAATTTAGGCGTCAAAACTAGATATTATAAGCTGCTCAGAGTTTTTTTATAAGCTGCTCAGAGTAAAGTATTCGCGAAAAAAAAAGAAACTTTTTGTCATCAATTTTTGAACCAATTGTAACCCATAAAAAATAAGTGCTATTTGCACTGGTTGCTGTGCAAATAGCACTGAGTGTTCCGACATATTTTTTAAAAAATACATAGTTTTTTTTTTCAAATTACTGCCGTTTTTCGAGCGTTATAAAAAAAACTGATGTAAGCGTAGAAATGCGTTTTAATCGACAATCTCATTAAAACAGGCAAGTTGAGCTTATGACAAGAAAAACAAAAAATATATAATAAAAAACTCGAACAAAAATCAAAATTTTGTTCTTTTTCTTGCTCAAATTAGACTGCTCATAATAAACCAAAACCTTGAATGTTTCGAAACCATTTTAGCGTCCTTAAAAACTTTTTTGTTTGTTGAAAAACGATGAATTTGAAAAAAAAACATAGTAAGTCAACTCATTTTGAAACAATTTCTGAGCTGGATTAATTCTCGGCTCACGCGTTCATAGCACAAAGTACATCGAGCGTTAACTATTCCAACTCACAAACCCATAATTCAAAGGAAAAGAGTACCCGTAAACTTTCTTTTTCTTCCGACTATGGGGAGTAATTTTGTATTTGTTTTATTTTGTGTGTTTTAATTTTTCTCTTTTTTCTCTTTTTTTTGTTTTGCAAACAAACTCAGGTAGCGCAAATAATCTTCGGAATTTCATATTAAAGTTTGTTCAGCCTTGATTTGAACGACATTGATAAAGTATCAAAAATTTGGTCGAGTGTTCAGACACAGCGGTTTTAAATACTTGAATGGTAATCTAATTTCGAGCGAGTAGAGGATCCGGTGACGTTCATTATAGAAAGAGTTCAATTTAAAAAACTTGATTTTACTCAAATAAAAACTATCTTTAAGTCTTCACTGAACGCTTTCTAGGCAAAAAAAGTTGCTTGTATGATTTTTTATGTAAATTGGTTTCATTTAGATGTTTTTTTGAAAATTTTTTGTTTCCGTTTTTTTAACGCTATTAGAACAATTTGTCAATTTTGCGTATTGTTTTGTCGATTTTACTTTGAAGCGTTTGCCTAGTTCTCTCATCACACCGGGTACAGAAAACGATGCTAAGTACAAAAAAAATGAAATTTTTCATTTTGTAATTTTTATGCATGCCGTCTAAACTTGTTAAGTCTTCCGTTCAGAAAACTAAAAAAATGTTTTCAAAAGTAATCAAAAGACTGGCTAAGTCTTGCGTTCAGAAAATAAAAAAGTCTTCAAAGTCTTCAAAAGAGGTTTGTTGAAAAGTCAAAATTTGTCGGAATAATAAAACTTTACCGAGCACGAATGTATCATTCTTTTTAAAAATTCGGGACAATAAGGCAGTAAAACTTAACAAAATCTTAAGTAAGATCTTCTTAGCTAATTATTGCAAATATTTATGACCCATTTAGCTTCTAACGACTTGTCGTAAAAGGAGTCATAAAACTGAAACTATTTGACCAGGAGATCTATATTAAAAATTAATGTCTTCGACCTAATAAAAATATTACAAGCAGATTCAAGTCACGTCTGTCTGAACTATTTTATTAGTTATTCAACCAATATATTGGTAGCTGTTTGTCAGGGTCGATTCCCAAAGAACAAAGTAAAGTTGTACCCGGAATACATAGAATTGAATAATAAATGTCCCGATTTTAAGATAAGTGCAACAAGCCCATTTTGAATTGACATAAGCCAAATTATTACTAGCCAACTAAGGTGTCTGTTTTCATTTGAAGAACACAAGTTCTACAGTTTGAGAAGCCGAAAGTTCTGATGCGAGAAATTGAAGCAACTAGATCAAAAAATTTAAGGGTTTGTTTGTGTATCACGAAACAGAGCGGAGGTCTTTTACGCTATAGGTCTTATACCCTTAGCAACTTCTAAGAAATATTCGACCCTATATCGGAAAAATTAGCAACCAGTTGAAAAATTTGGAAAAATGGAGACTAGCGGCAATGAATTATTTTTTGCAAAATTACCTGTTTTTTTATAGTCGACCAATCAGCTTAGTAGATATCGAAGTTTCATTCGAAGAACGCATTTCAATGTTTTAAATACAATAAAAATTTTCAGACGTTTTATTTGACTCATATAATGAACCACATCTTCATGTTCAACGACCACATCTTCACTTCAACTACGGAAATATCCGATAACGCGTGAAAAGAAAAATTTCTGGCCGACACTTCTAAACTTTTGAAAACATTTTTAATTTATACACAATTCTGATTGGCAAGCATATTTTTTCGGTCATTTGGTCTTTCGGTCCTTCTAGCATGAGGGATAATATCATGTTGATGGACAGATAATAAAAACTGAAGAAGCTTAAGCCCACGCCGAAATCAATCAAAATTCTACAACTCCATAAACTTTAGAACATGATTGCATGGAGTGTTTCAACTCTAAATTAGGCTTATGAACTTTCTTCTTTCGGAAACCCATATTTTAATTTTTCGGAACTTAAAATAAAAATACTTTAGATCTGTTTTCAGATTTTGAGCATAAAAAAATGAAAAAGTTCAAAATTCACATGTTTTTATCGAATTGATAGAATTAGCATGCTTGTTAAATATTAAAAGGAAAAGTATATGTTTCACGTGGCGAAAATCACTTAAATTCCCTTCAATTAACCTGAATAGTTCTGCTCTAGCTAATCCGATTCAGTGATTGATGTGCTCCTTTGTGACTTGAACACAGTATCGCATGAATTGAATAATTGAATCTTATTTAAAACACAACATGAAGAACTATTTTCGATCATTGCTAGTTGTAAGAGATGAAAATGTTGCAAAATCTCTCTTTGAAATCAACTTTTTTTTCCTGAGAACAATCTGCTGTCCCGCAAAATAAAATATCTATTTTTTCTAAACTGACCCATTGAAGACAATGCAGTACATTAGTGCAGAAGTACAACAGAGCCGAAAAATAAATTGTAGTTGAACAGTGCCTAAAATTATCTATTTTTGGCACACTTGAAAGTTTCTTCAGTTGCCTCACTGTATTACTTCGGCACTGTTGATTGCCACCAATGAGGATGTGTTCGTTCA